AGAGAGAGAGAGAGAGAAAATTACCTCATCATTCAACCATGCACCTGGTTTTAAACACTGCAATATTTCTCCAGTGATATCGATATTAGAATTCTTATGACTCACCAAAACCTTTCTCCTGTATAAATTGAGCAGCAACAAAACGCACAACAATTGAGTAGATACACAGAAACCGATTCCAATTAAAGATTAAGTATTATAATAAGAAATACCTACAGGAATTAGACAGAGCGTTAGCAACCTCAGCCTCTTCCTCCATAGTAATAGGCATAAAACATTCTTTGGACACATGCTGCAAGTCAATGAAAACCATTTTACAAAAATAAATAACACGAACAATTACACTCATATACAGTATAGTCCGGAGGATTTGCACAAGAATAACACATCCCCAAGGATGTGATTTCAAAAAAAGTCACCTTGTTAGTTTCTTCCACTTTCTTCTGAGGCCGAAATAATTGAAGCCTTTGAAAGGACTTTTCCTCTAACTCTATGGCAAAACTTAAACTTTCCAACTTATCATTCCTCTTCTTCGCAGAATCATATAGCTTCCTGTGAACAGGTACCCCCGACAGATCTGCTTCCTGGTTCATCAGCACCAAGTCCATCATATTTTCAGTAGAATCCACCTTTACATTCACACCACTTGTATCAGAGACAACACAAGAACCCAATGACTGTAAATTACTTTCTACCATTTTCCCCTTAAGTTCCCGAGAATTTCCCAAAACACCATTCCCCTCCTTCCACTTGATCCTCGGAGAATCCACTACCTCCACCTCCTGAACGCTCAAATCCTCCGACATATCATCTTGACTTTCCTTCTTGTCATCAATCTCAATCACTTCTTTTTCTTTCTCTTTCTCAACGGACTCATTCTCTTTCCCCACATACCTGAAAGTTTTCATTGCACTAATTTTCGCCTTCTCCAACCTATATTTAAGAGTTCCATACATACTCCCCATTCTAACCTCCGAATTTTCTTCAAGACTTAAACTAGAAACAATTTTATTCTTACTCGCTGAAACCCCAAATCTATGACTCCTAACTGGGGCATGAACTTCCCTCATAAACCTTGGTTTCGAATCCGGATACTCGGAAATCCTCGAATTCACAGATTTTGCGGATATGGGTCTACCATAATCAACGGTATTTCCAATCATAGAATTCGAGAGCTTGAGCTTTTTGGAAACGTGAGCGTACGAGAGATCAAATGAGGGTGAAGTTGGAGCTGGGGATTTGAAATAATCGTTACCTCGATTCCGATTGACGGTTAAAGCCCCCATTGTCGAAGGGTTAACCGAGATACCAAACCTACGGGAGAAAAAAGTCGACCCATTTCAGAATTCGCATTTTGAGAGTAAATTGGCAAGAAGTTTCAAGTTCTCTACGAAAGAGGATAATTCCCCTAGAGAGTAATTGGGGGATCCTTGTAAAAGAAACCTACTCAAGGAATAATTAGGGTTTTGCAGCTTAATGACCAAGACGAATTTGGCGTGTATGTGAAAAAGTCAATTTCCTCTTTCAGGAAGAACACAGAATACCGAAAAGGAGCAGATTTGCGGTTTATAGATATAGGAAAAAGACTAAAGAGTAGAAATTTCGGGGAAGCATTTGCGCATTGGAAACACAGGTGAGAGGGAGTTAATGATTCTAGTTACTGAAATTAGGTCAAATCTTTGATTAATGACTGAAGTTTAAAAGGTTGAGATTTAATCACTAAATTTAGGTCAATATTTGCTCATTAAATTTAGGTCCATGTCTTGGAGTGCTTATTAAAATTTAAAATGTCGA